AGATTTCACATTCTTATCCCTTAATCTGACACAGGTAAACGAGGGGCCTGGAGGACAAGGCGCATAAGTGCAGTTTTTGAAAAATTGAGATATTAATGATTTCAAGTAAAATTAGTTTTAATGCATGTTCAGAGAAAAAATCGCTCCTAAATTCCAATTTTTAAGCATCAAGAAGTCAGTTTGAACCGTCTTTCCGCCTTAAGGTATCCATGTTATTTTGAAACTTCAAACACATGTTTCTCAAAATAGCAAAAAATGCACTTATGCGCTTTGTCCTCTAAGCCCCTCATACAGTCTATTTTATGTGCACTGATCCACATTAGAAGGTATTTATACCAAAAGGACCTATGTGCATAGGGTTGCGTGAGACATAGTTCCTTTTAGCATAAATACGTACATTACATTTTGTGACTGCAGATAAAGAATTCGACACTTTACATTGTTTCAACTACTGTAGTCCCTTAAATTAGAGACGATCTGAATGGCGGTAGTTCGTGGCGCTGAAATCACGTCGCGCTGCAAAATGACAGCCACTTTAGGAACGATTTTATAGCAAATGCGATAAAATTATTCAAAAAGAGGGACGATAGCCCCTCCTAGCATACACCATCAGCAAGTAAAAAAAAATGTCATACGTTGAAAGTTAGAAATAAGTTTACTAGAGCGGTTGGAAACAATCGTCGCATACTATCACGGCTCATGGGTGTCACAAACGGGAATAAAGATTTACCCAAATTGAACGTTCTTTGTAATCTTCGATCAACTCATTCCCGAATTCCTGTCTCTGTTCCTTCTCTCATTCCGTTTGTTCCTGGCCGTGCCCCCCATTCCGCGATCCATTCCAGACTATAATCTTTGCAATTGGTGAAACTGTAATCTTTATTCCCGTAAAAGAAAAAAAAATAAAAAATAAAAAAAAATAAAAAAAGAGAAAAAGAAAAAAAGAAGAAAAAATAAGAAAGGGGAAAAGAAGAAAAAAAGGGAACTGTATTTGAATCTTGAAAACAGCGCGAATCATGGGGGGAATCCTGATGTTTGGGGGTTTCCCTGCGCCGCGCGATGACCTCGAGGATTGGATGGATGATGTGAAATTAACATACCGGTAGAAGGGACGATATTTTCTTCGGGCATGACCTGGGCACCTGGGGTCTTGGCTCTTGGGGTGGCGCGGCTACGAACCAACGATGCGATGACCACGAACTGAGCCGGGCCGCCGGACCACATGCCCGCCCTCCGCGGGGACTCGCGGCTTTGAGCCGCACAGTGGATCGAGTCAAAAGGAGAGGTCGCACAAAATTCGGAAACTTTAAACGCTTATAACTCCGTTAATACAAGGCGTTGAGGTTTTCAAAGTAGTTCCAATGGTTTACTCGTGAAATTTTATCCTTGAGGCACCCCCTAAAATTTAAAAAGTGACGAAATAAACATCAAAATTTGCAGTTTTAGTCAAAAATTTCACGTCCAACCTTTCCCATTGACTCGATCCAGTGTGCGCCGTATTCAGCTGACAATACCGCTTGGCTAAAGAAGAACGCTTTATGAGCATTCGAATGTTGCCAAATTTCCTCTCAGAAAATATGTAGTTTTAAAAAAAAGATTTCAGATATTTGTGGAACAAATGGAAAATTTGCACAAATAACGTTGATTGCTTTGTTTGAAAGTTTTCAATAAGTGAGTTCGTAGTATTTTTCATAGATTTTTTCTAATGTTAGAAATTGGAGAAAAATAGATTTTAAAGTGAGAAAATGTGCCGCGTCGTGACGTCATCTGGCGGCATTTTCCATTTGAACGCATGCATTTTAGCAGATTAGGTTATTTTGTCTTATTTCCTCCAATAATTGTCCAATTTAGAAACCAAGGATATCCTCGCACTCAGTTTTCCAAGTAGTATTACTTTCAAGATGAAATTTACAAAATTTCAGACACCTGCAAATTCCCCATTCCGAACAACATTCTTTGAAGAATCGGGGGGAATAAATCGACAACAACCCCGAGAATTCATGATTTCGTCACCTTCCAGGCAAAGTATCACAAGCGCCATGCGACGTTTAAAAATTTCCGCTGCCATTATATTTTTTGACAGAGAAATTGTTCAACGAAGCTGTCCGAAAATTACACCGAATTTTCTTTGTGCTGCCGATAAAATTTAGTGAAATTTTCGAACAGATTCAACCAACAATTTCTCAGTAAAAAAATAAAATGACGGCGGAAATTTTTAAACGTCGCATGGCGCTTGTGATACTTTGCCTGGAAGGTGACGATTTGTCGGAGGGAGTTTGGCAATGTATAAAGGCTGATACGGGGTTTTTCGTAGGACGGCAGAAGAACCGTGCGCTTGTCGCGCCGTGCCGGATCGACACAATGTCGCAGCACTCGGAGCGTGGCACGGCCAAGTTCAAAACCGTAGTATTTTAAGAACAAAACAGGGGAGAGGGGGGAGGGGGGCGCGGTCACTGGGGCAGTCCATCAGTCGACGTCCCCCGAAACGACGCGAAGCAATATGCTTTCCGCTTCCGGCGAAAACGTTCACGCGCTACGAAAATCTCACGTCACGTCACCACACGTCACGCGGAACCATCGATAAGCGGATGAGAGTGAGAGTTGGGGCGTTCATTTCGGAAAGGTGCCAAGTTGGATTTGTTTTGAAATTGAGTTTGTGGCGGGAAAGTGCCTTAATTACCTACCGATGGCTAGAGTCCCTTTATACCGAGAGGTAAGACAACACCCCCTCATGGAGTCACGAACGGGAATAAAGATTACACGATTTGAACGTTTTTCGTAATCTTTGATCGGCTCATTCTCAAATTCCTGTCTCCGTTTATTCTCTCATTCCGTTTGTTCCTTGTCGAACCCGTCATTCCTCGGTCCATTCCAGATTGTAATCTTTGCAATTGGCGAGAATATAATCTTTATTCCCGTTTGTGACATACTGTGGAGGCCTAAAATACGGGAACCAATCAGAGATGGATTCACATTATCCTAACTCTCAGTATAAAGGGACTCTACCGATGACTATCAGTCGTTTATTCTGAAAATGTGGCAAATCATCATCAGCATCATCAGTACATACCGAACCGTATGTACTGATGGGTACACGGACTTTATGTCCACTTTTTTTTACGTCCACAGACTTTTCGTCCACAAATTTTACGTCCACAGTTCTATTGCCCACGCTATTGTTAAGTCCACAAATGTAAAGACCACTAAATTCAAATTCAAGCGTCATATTTTAGTCCGTGTGTAAAATTATATTGAAAATATCGAAATGAGAAAATTAAGAGAGAATGAGGTGTTGTTATCGTAACTCATATTTTAAATGAAATGTCAATTTCTTCTTTTTATTCATCTTTTCAAATTGTCTTTGGTAAATACTTGGTTTTATTTCTATCCTTGAAATTTCCGATATAAAATATGCCTTAAATGTACATTCTTTTTTTTAAATGAAATTGATTACTTCATTTTAAAAACATTTACATTTTTAAAACGTGGTAAATATTTGTAAAACCTTTTCCAATCAATGGCATCGATATGAATCTCAATGAGCCATAGTTGTGATGAAAGAAACTATAAAAAAATTAATAAAAGAGGAAAAAAACTAAGAAGCACGCAATTTTTTGTTTTTAACTTATTTGTACATCGACCTTTTTGCGTCAAATACGTCCAATTGTGAGCGTTTGGTTGCGCTTACACCACGCTGCAGCACAGTAAAAGCCCAAAACATAAAATAATAAATTTGAATGCTTTGGAAATCATTAAATTTGAAACGGAACCACTATTATATTTACAAAAAACACATTATATTTTCCAGTAGTACATATTTCTTTTTCATCAATTTGCACTTCAGCTGACTCCGCGAGTTTAAATATTAGAGCCTAACACAGAGCGGAGCGGCGTGTTAGCAGCGCAGAACGCGCACAGGCGCCTACCAACCTAACTGGATACTTCACGCACTGCGCAACGCGTGAAGTATCCCATTAGGTTTGTAGGCGCCTATGCGCGTGTCACGCTGGTTGTCTGCCGGGCCGCAACGCTTTAAGCAACTATTTCGCGTCAGAGGCGTTGCACGGTATCCTACAAGATTGAAGGCGCACGAATTAACTAGTTAAAGAGGACTTTCAATTTTGACTGCATCTGTTACTGAAAAATGTTTAATTTGGCATTGGAGCGTTTCCTAGGCTCCCGCTTTGGTTTTCATCCTATCATATCCGTACAGTGTACACATGAACATATGTTTTTATCTGCTCTTAGAGTCTGTTCAGCCTGAGACGCTGAATGTCTTAAAATTATAATAACTAACTAACTCTTTCATGACTTGATTCATAGATGAAATGTTTTTAAGGATGAAGGTAGTAGTAGTATGCATTTATTTTTGAGGTGGTTCCTGACATTTAAATGGGGAGAAAAAAATGTGGACATAACATGTCCAGTGTCCACAATTTGGACAATTTTTGACATATTCATGGTTGGACATTAAATCATGTGGACTTAATAAAGACTGGACTTAACGTTTAATGGACATAAATAGCGGTGGACATTTATTTAATGAACGAAAGGTAGGTGGACATAAAGTCTTGGAAGCGTACATACTGCATATGCTTCATTTTTTCACTTTGAGACAAAATTCCGGCATCTTAATGTAAAATATATAAAAAAACTGCGCTTATAAAATAGTTGTGTTGCCTCATCTACCACGGCGTCTTAAAATTTCTTCGACATAATCTCTATTCAAATTCCACGATTTCACATGGTGAATTGAGTTACATTTTAAAATGCATACATTATATATTTTAAGAGAATCATTTAACTGTCGAGCAACCCCTATGTTGATGTTGAAGGTATTTGATGGGTAGTTATAACCACTGGATCAAAATACTGAAACCTTTTTCTATAATTTCTTAAATTAATTATTCTCCGTCGAGATTTTTAAAAATAGCAGTGTCCGTAAGGGACACGACACGCAGAGATCGTGCAACAATAAGTGACAGAAAGAAGGCACTTACTTTTCATGAGTGCGTGGGGACTCATTTTGGCGATTGACAAAAACAGAAACAGTGGCGCTCTTCCAGATCAGAATTCAGAATCCACACCATCTGAAGAACAAAAAAAACAAAGATATTGATAGTTAACTTCATCCGGTGTAATGTTTTTCCAACACACAAATAAAAAGCGTTTTCCTCCCTAAAAACACAATTACTTGACGACGTGTGTCAGTTTTTCCACTTGCACCCGCCGGGAAAGAGAAAAAACTTTGGATATATTTGAACCTTCAACTAAACTTACATAGAACTTTTCAAAAAACGACGATGATCTTGGGAGATTTTCATAAAAGCATCGAAACATGAGGTAGAATATTTCAGTATTTTCCATTTCTACTTCATAATGTCATGAAATTCTGCAATTTTCTTCAGATTAAAAAATTATACGATTTGTAAAGACATGTTTACGATTGTAACATTCTAGAATAAATTATACAAAGGGGGAAACTGCAAAAAAGCTGAGAGTCCATCCATTTCTCAGTGAGGTTTCGACTAGTGGCGAGGCGTGAATGATCGATTATCGATATTCCCCCATTTGAAGCTATGGTAAAGAATCGATTATCAAGGTGTTCGTTGCAGACACCCTCTTCATCGACCCTTTTCCATCGGTTTAAATGGTAGATCATTCAATACATACTAAAGCACGCCACGCCACTGGTTTTCATTGCGAATCATGTCGAGTAACAGTCGTAATTTAGGGTGAACCCCCCCTGGGGCTTCAAGATGTTTGACGGGAAAAGATCCTTGGAGACGTTTACATCACCGCTCGCGCTCGGCCATACTGCCGTGCTAAGGGAAAACGTCGTATGAACATCCCACAGTTGCAAAATTTCCCTTGAGAAAACATGCATTTTTGACGACTTTCATGCATATTTTTCCTTGAAATTTTCTGATATTTTAGGAGAAATTGTGTGCAAAATTGTCTGGAAATTTTGGAGACAAATATGCACAATTTTTCTAGTAAATTCAGTTTTTATCGAAGGAAACTTGGCTACGTCTGAAGGCTCATACGGCGTTCTTACTTAGCACGGCAGCATAGAACGGTATAATGAGAGTGGCCTTCCGGAGAAAATTGGCGAATCCCGACAGGCTTAGCATAGATGAGACCCAAGCCGGAGGGATGAGCGAGACACATCCGAGCGGTGGAAATATGGTGGAACTCGGTGGGTGTGCAGAGTGCTGGTGCCCCCTGTGGCTTCGCATTGGAACACGGGTTCACAACTCGAACGCAACACGAAACTTTTGCGAAACGACCCGCAGGCTCACCCACCGGGCTTCGGTTGCAAAACTTCATCACAAAATGAAGTCGAATCCCAAAATGCAGAAAGGGCACTATCCTGTCGTGATGGCGAAGAGAGCAGTGAGCGTCAAATTTTAAAAATCGAGTTTCCTTCAAAATTCGTCTGAGCATTTTTAGATTAAATCACTGAAATTGCTAAAACCGCAAGATTTGTTTAGTTTTTATCAGAACGAGACATAAAGCTCAAAATCAAATTTTCAAAATCGAAAATCCTTCAAAATTCGTCTAAGCTCTTTTAGATGAAATCACTGAAATTGCTAAAACAGCAAGATTTGTTTTCTTTTGATCAGAACGAGAGATATGAGAAAGCCATAAGAGCGCAAAAAATGACGTAGTTTCAGGCAAGACAGCAGTAAGTGACAATATTTCTACAGAGAGCCAACGGAAACAGTGCTTTCAAGTTAAGTGCCGCCCTCTTCTGCGAATTTCCAACCTGAAAATGTGATCGTTGTGTGTCCAAAATGCAACCAAGACAGCTTGTAGTAGATGACACTTGCGGTTGTCTTGCCTACCAATAACCTAGCGTGAAAATTAAAAATACCATTTTTATGTAAATAAAATAAAATCAGTCGATTTTTTAATCATCCAAACCTTTTCTGGGAGTTATTCGGATGAATAGTGATAATTTGAGAGAGAATGGAGGCTTCTTTCAATAAAATTTTCCGGTCAGAAGCTTCTGAGCCCGTTTTCTCAAAACTTCCATTTTGCAATTACTGCTCTCCTCGATACCACGGTAGTAGGTATCGAAAGGGGTTAATTTTTCTACAAGAATATAAAACTGATCAAAAGTAAGCATGTTAACTGTTGTTTTTGTGCAACGGCGCTTCCCCTTTAATACAAAGACTAAACCTAGATGATGTATGCAACTATTCGTGTTCCACGGATGTGCGTGTTGCATGTTCAAAATTGAAGGCACTTTCGCTTTTCTCACTTCCTCAGAGATTCACGCGACTGCCGTCAGTTGCAGCACTCAATTAACAGAGTACCTATGTAGAGGTATTATTGTCATCTCAATCCTTTTACTACGACAAAATTGTCATTCTCTGTTTGGTCAACAGATTTCAGACTCACTTGGACTGTCTGATTTTCAACTTTTGAAATAATTTCTGAACAAAAGATGGATATTTTCGCGAAGGATTATCCTTTTTCTGTTAGTTTCATTCATATTTCCCTTGATAAAACGACTCTCTATTGATCGGTTTCGTTTACTCGGATGCCGAGTATGTGGGGGGGGGGGCTTGTAATATTTTAAAAACTCTTGATATAAATTGAAAAAATTAATTTTAAACTGGATTTACGTAACCCTTCAACCTTTAACAAACTGCATGGGATTTTTATTTTGATACTTTTTAGTTCCATTTAAAAATCACGAGAAATATTCGTTAGAAATCTAGTTCAGTTTCAGATATTTAAGATTAAATTGCGTGCAAAATTATCTGAAAAATTGGAAGGAAAATATTTATAACCAGGAAATTCGCGTTTTATCCAAGGAAATTTGACAATGCCTGAAGGTTCATACGGCGTTTTTCCTTAGCACGGCAGTTCAGCACCACTAACCAGTGAATCAAATACTCACGCCAGTCAACTTTTGAGAAGGTCAGCAAGTTCAAAAATAGGTACACGCGTGCTTAATTTTAGCGTTATATGAGCTTATGCATATGCATTTACTAAAGAATGAAGTGATCCGCTCAGCTAAAGCCACAAAATCCTGAATGAAACCGAGGATTACGCTGTCCTCCTGAAGAAGTCCGTCGTATGAATCTCTGGATAGACGTTGCCAAATTTCTTCCAATAAAATGCACATTTTCTAGGAAACTTGTGAATTTTTCTCGGATTTTTTTTGAGAATTTCATTTATAATTTAATCTAAAATATTCGAAAATTTCAAGGAAAAATACTCATACCTTTTCTCAAAATTAAATATTTTATCGGGAAAGAGGAAGAGGGGGGATTTACCAACGTCCGAACGTTCATGCAGCGTTTTTCCTCGGCACGAAAGCACAATGTTACAAAATTGCCCCTGATGTGTTTTATTTATTTATTTTTTTCAAAAGTATACCAGTCTCATTTTTTCCAGGAAATGTCTACGACAATCCCTGCAAATTACTCAATAATTACTGAAGATTTCAAGAATATTCGTTGCTCGTTTCATTCCACACCCAGTAGTGGCGGCGTCTGTATGGGGAAGGAGGGGGAGCTCTGGAGCAGCCGCCTCCTAAATTTTGCTGTCTTTTTTTTTGGTTATAGAAAAAACAATTTTTACCACGAAAATAAGTGAAAATTTGTTCTGGGGTACTTAATTTTTAAAATTCGTCCTACAGGGGACCCCCTCCGTTTGAGGGCAACCTCCCACGCCCCCACTCCTTTATCCGAATTTTGCCCACCCCCTCCCCCTAGATTTTAGCCACACGCCGCCAGTGCCCCCGCCAAAATCACGAATTGTAGAATATTAAGATACATGAGAGAATTGGATTGCATTTTGCAAAAAGGAACCACTAGCATTGCAATGATGCTAAGATTGTGCAACTTCATCTTTTGCAATAAAACTGCGGAAATCGTGAAAAACTATGAAATTTAGATGGTATTTTTGTCTTAAATTTACAGTTTTTAGCGAGTAAAATAGGAACCATTTATGGATAATCGGATTTTCCTCCGAGACAAAAGAAGTTGCCCAATCTTAGCAACATTGCAATGCTAATGGTTCCTTTTTGCAAAATGCAATCCAATTGATAGATAGTGATATTCTGGGTGGTTAATCGACATAAAGCGTCGACTGAAACCGATTCTTTTTTCTATTGGATTGGTAAAGAAATACGTGATGAACCACCACCGCGGGCTTCGGTGGGAATCCATGAAAAAGCTGGCGAAAAAANAAAAAAAAAAAAAAAAAAAAAAAAAAAAAAAAAAAAAAAAAAAAAAACCAACCAAGCTGAACGGACAACCCTGACCTGACCAGTTTGCGAAACAAGATTCGGCTTGCGGTCTAGTCACTCAATCCTTAACTGAACACCGAACGCTCATGAAGGAAGTTGCCGTGAAATATCGAAAAAATAGCGCAGATAATAATCCATTAGAAGTGCCGATGGGCAAGGTTAGAAACGTATTACAGCACGCGTAAATTCATAGAAATTGCGTGAAGAGCACGGCGGGTAGACACAATGAAAATTTAAAATTTCAACTCCCACGTGATGAAATTGAAGAGAAAAAGAGAGCAGAAATGAATTACGGGTCAAGGGGTATTTCCGAGTAGTCTCCGATTGGCTGATCCGCCTGGTGTCCATTTTCTGGAGTTCTTACGGTAAAAAACACGGGGTTCATTTTCATCAAAAATATTCCGAAAAAAACAAGGAAAAATAAATACTCAGAGATTCCAGAAATCAACTATCCAGTTTCTCCTGAAAAGATCGATAGGTACACTGGTAAAAAAAACCTCTTGGACCAATGCCGCGGTGCATTGACTTAGGAGTGCGATTTCTTGTCGCCGGATTTAAGAGTCTTGAACTCTTGTTTCGAGCGGATTTTGCATTGAAACAAGAGTCCAGACTCTTAAATCCGGCGACAAGAAACTGCACTCTTGAACCAAGAGGTTTTTTTTAACATGACACTTTTCTCAAGCAAGCACACCAAACAGATCGACCTGGAATTTTGTCTTTTCAACTAAAAATATGACGCTTAGTGTCATGAAAAAACAGGATTGTTTGCCATAAAGACCCCAGAAAGTGGGCACCAGGCGGATCAGCCAATCAGAGACGACT